TATTTTTCACATTCATAGGAATGCGTCTAAGTTTTTGTTTTACGAATGTTATATTGAAGGGTCTCATTGGCTTGTATTTAGTAGGAATTGAACCTATGAATTCGTCAATTATAAGTTGGGCGGTTTAACCATTCAGTCATGAATGCTTGGCGGAAATTATCATACATGATGAATAACCAATGAAGACAATGAATCTTTCTCTTGGAGGATTAGAAAAAAAATGGTTCTATTCACTTAAGTTAGAGATTAAAAAATAAAAAAAATTCATTTATATAGTTTAAACCAAGAACTGATTAACTATAAACGAAAACAAACTGAAATAGCTAGTTCAATAGTTAATTTCAAATAATCAATTATAAACTTTAGAAATAACGAGGTTGCATTTGAGCCACGGTTTCATTCGAAAATGTCATTCAGATACCTCAAAATTATTGGTGGAACTAGACAAGATTAACGAAGATACAAAATAAAATATAATATAATAATAATAAAATCTTTTATTCTGTAGAATGTTGTCCTTTATCATGTATAGTCTATGTTGTGAAATTCCATATAGGAAGTTGAATGAAACTCTCAATTTTAGCTCACGATTCGAATGGAACATGATTCATGTAGTCGACTTTATATTATGCAAGAAATAAATTCTAATATAGCTAGCATTAAGGGGGCGTTTGTTTCTCATTTTTGTAAGAATGATAATGAAAAATATAGCCGTTATGAACCCCACACAAAAGATAGAAATTCAAAATTGGTGGCTTGATGTAATGAATAACGATCATATTTTTCATTTTAATGGGGAAAAAATGGAAACCAAACAAGGGCTAAATGACATTTGACATCAAATTTTAATAACAATATCAGTGAAAACACATTATAATCTGGTACTTATATTTATTCTATTTTTCTAGTATTCATAAAAATACATTAAAAAACCAAAAACTCTTCCGCTGTGCTTTTCCAGTTTCAAATAAATAATTAATCAAAAGCCCAAAAATATTCTTCTTCAACTTGAGCAAAAAGTACACGATATCATGTACAACACTCCAACATATTTAAGTAGGAAGACATTCCTAGCGTAAACATTCTTGTAATGAAAGAATAAATCATTGAACTTTTAATGTACGAACAAGATTTAACCTCTTTTTTCTTTTTAAGACACACTAGTGCTATTCAATCCATCTTACCGAACACAGTATCTATATTTACATCAATCATTCATGATGGTTACTATGATCATTCTGTGTTTGTGTTCTTGTCTCTCTCCTGTAAGCCTTAAAGAGATCAATTCCAAGAGAGATGTTAAGAAAATTCATCCCCACCATTCCGAGGAAAGCAAGCGGAAGCTCGATTCCCTTCCCAAACTTGGGAGCATCTTGGAGTAGCTTGATTATGATGAGAACATGTGACGTGAATCTTGCGAAGACAAAGGTCAACCAGTTAAGAATCCATTCTATCTTCACAACTATGCTCTGGGCATCACGAACGCCAACCATTCGTCGCACTTTCCGAACGTGCAAAAAAATCGAATGTAGCTATAGGAAGCAAGAACCGAGGCATTAGGAACAACAATGAGAACATAACATTACATGCCCCAAACATATATATCTCATATCGAATAAATATAAAAATATTCAACGTATAAAGCTTGGATTAATTCTCTTAACAAGGTTGACCTTTTAAAACGGACCCAGTTCTCCGTATCACAATACATTAAGTTCCTTGATCCGAATAAAACTCAAATGAGCACATGGTTTTGAAGATTAATATGCTCAAACGAGCTACCATCTTGCAGGGGCAAGTTAAGGTTAATAAATATGAAATAAGTATATAACATTAAGCCCCCGTTTGGTTCTAATTTTTTTATCCACAAAAAATCAATTTTTTGACTGTTACTTAACATGGTCAGCCGCAATTTTGACTTCTTCACTCACAGGTAGGATCCACTCTTCTCTATAACGGTCAAAAAATCAATTCTCATAATCACTACCGAACAGACCCTAAAGGCTCGAGCTACCCTTCTTAACCAGATTGACATTTTAAGAAGAAATCCAAATCCTAATACATTGTGCTTGTGCATTCTTATATTTGACCATTGTTCATATGATACACACAGGTCATGTTGTCTCATTAAACCCAAGAACTTCTGCAAACATGGTTGAAATCATAAAGTTTCTAGTGACTGAATTGTTTGAAACATCTTAGAGAGAAACAAGAAATGAAAGTGCATACAGTTACAGTTCTTGCTTCAAAATCAATGCCTACTGAAAAAGTCGTATCCTCGGGGATACAAAGACAGATGTTCCAAGAAGTAAGGCACGTTAGCAATATACACCTTCATTTTTTACTAAATTTTCAGTTAAAAAAGATTACCCAAGTGACTCTTACCTCACTATCAAAAGAGTAACTTATTCCAACTTTGAATAATAAAAGAATTATTCATATTAGAATTTACTTATTTACTAAATATTTAATTTACTTCTAAGTAAACATTTTAAGATTAGCCAAACATGCTCTGAATCCCTTGCTTGTTGAGCATACATTTATCTGTGCATGAGAGAACATCTACAAAAGAAAATGCCAAAGAGAGAGTTGGACTTGGTAACGAAATGCATGGATAATTTGCAATTTTACCTCACAAATGAGAGTGAGAATAAGATAGTTGATTGTGACTTTCCGATATAATGCTAGAGTGAAGCAAACAAGGAGCACTAGATGATGCACTAGGATTGAAGGGATCCAACCACTGTACAGCCGATAATGCAACATATCCCACTGATCATATGCAAAATAACCACATGAAAAGCACAAAGCTTGGTATGCCCATGGCCAAGTAACCTCGACCAACTGTGAGTGTTCAAACATCTTGTTTAGACCACTAGTTGTCCACTGATTGAGCAGAATAATTACGACTGCAGAAATGAACGTGGTTAATTCAGAAAAGATGAAAGCAGCACTAAGAAAATGGAGAGAGCATAGTTCATGTACAATATCATCAATCATCTATGAATTTTAGGGCTTGTTTGAGCTACATTATTTTCAAAAAAATACATTTTTTCAACAGTGATTTGATATCATTTCAACCACACATTCTTCAATAAAATAATATTACACGCAAATCTAAAATTTTTTCTTATTTTTTAATCACACATTTGCCATTGATTTGACATGAATAATGCATTTTTCCTAGAATGTGGCTCAAACAAGGGGTTAATATCTTGACTACACATATATGAGAATACTTTGCGAGAGAGGAGAGACATTTAAACCCAGCTGGGCAGCAACCCATCCCATTCTGCCCCAAAAGAAAGAGAGAATGAAATGAAAGAAGTTTTTCTGCAAAACAAACCATTCTTGCAACGAAACCTCTGGTCCTATCACTTCAACATACGATTATTTTTTCTTTTTTCTTGTTAAAAGCATATCCATACCAAGTGAGACAATTGATCTTTTTGTTTGGACTGCGATTTCCCAGGGATTTACCTCATCAAAGGCTCATCCAAATATCAAAAACACAAGCTCATGTTATAGCTAGAATCAATAAATCTGTTCCTTCTTTTCTTATCAATTAATTGACCCCTTATATTTAATACAGTAAATAAAGCATCATAATATTGACAGAACCCTCTCAAAAGTATATCAGTGTGTAGAATTTAATAGAATGAAGCGGAAATAGATTGAAACACTAGTAACTCAAACAGTTCAAATAAAAGAGACCATTTTCTCATTCAAAAGTGCTAAGTTACTACATTTATTCTAGTGAGACAGCCGCTCTTAGCCATCCCCTTGTCTAATCGTACAAATGAACACAAGTAGGCCATCATGAATTCATGATTGTCCAAAATGAACACAAATTCATCAAACAAAGGAATACACTCCCTCCATTCCATTTATAGAGGCTGGTTTTGTTTTCACACAGATTAAGAAATCTTATTTAAAGTAATTGAAAAAGCAATTTTTGCAAAAAACTTTCCTAATTTATATTTGTAAAATTTCAAGATTAAGTGGAGAAAATTGATTAGAACTAGGCAAATTAAATAGAGATATATTAATAAACAAACAAAATAAAATATTCTCAATAAAGAAACATAACTATATAATTAGGACAAGAAAATAAAGAAAGTCAACCAATATAAATGGGACGGAGGGAGTATAAAATAATGATGGTTTGGTCCTAGGAACAAAGCCAAGAAGTCGTAAGTCCAATACATAATTCTAGTTATTCTCAGTATGAAAAGAAACAGAAAAATGCTTATATCATTAACATTCCCCCAATCTACAATCTACAATCCACAATGAGACAAATAGAAGAAAGGACTCATCTACATGTACATGCTACTCAGAAGCATAATAACTCAATTTAAAAAAAAAAAAATCCGCCCCGGAAAATTCCAATCTACTCAAGAACATGCTAGCATTATTCTTAGGAAAAAGAAAAAAAGGGTAATTCAATTCAGTTGAATCAACAAGCAAACACAAAGATAAAATCTCCTCATTTTTTTTAATTTTTTCAAATTGGCATATAATTCAGCTATATCTAATGAGCTAAATCCAACACTTTCTTACGCAACAAATTCTACAAACCATCAATAATTAATAAGAATAGCCGGCAAAACTACAGAATCCCATTACAGAATACTCCCCAATAATCACAACAAATTCAATCAGACAAATAAAAACCATCGAAAGAGGAAATGTGAAGCTGACCAGAGGCAGAAGTAATTGACGAATGGAGGAGAGAAACACACGTGTTAACAAACACAGGATCACGCGAGACAAAATTGCGAACGATCCAGTTGGCCAGTTGGAAGAAAACGAAGCCCAGAAGAATTGGAACAAGCTCAATTCGCTTATTGAAAGAAATTTCGAAGAAAACCGAGACACCCCACATCACTAAAGTCGCCAAGAAGAATGCTCCCGCCTTGTTCTCCATATCAATTTTTCTCCTATTACTACTGCTTCGCGCCATAACTGTTCTTCCTTGTTTGATTTTCTGTGGTTCTGGGTGCAATTCAGGAATATCTAAGGTTGCTTATTCTCATCAATTACTGTTAGGGAAGGCAATGAAGAGCATGGTGGGGGAAATGGGGGAGGAATGATATTGGGCAGCCTTATGTTTCTTCAGAGTGTTTTATACGAAATTGTTAGAATACTCCAAAAAGGAAATAAATAATGGGAAAAAATACAATTCCGGGTATTATTTACATCAATTCACAAATCTTGTATAAAGTTTAAAAATTCAAAATTCAGATTTCTATATAACTAATTAAAAATATTTATTAATTAAATATAATAAAATCACAGTTACACAATTAATAACCATGGATTCATAATTATTGGTCACGAATTTATTTATTGGTCATATATCATCGAATGTTACAGATTATTTCAAGACCGCAAATCAAAAATTTTGTAGGTCACAGATTATTTTGAGGTCACAAATCAAAACTTTTGTGGTCACAGATTATTTCATTGGTCACAGATTAAAAATTTTGTAGGTCACAGCTCACATCATTGGTCACAAATTCAAAAATTTATAGGTCACGGGTCACATATTCTTAAATTTGATGGTCACGAATTACTTTTTAATGACAAATGATAGAATTTTTAATGTCGCAGTTTACGGTCATAATCACAGACGTGACCATATAGTTGGTCACAGACATCCAACATTCAATCCCGACACCACCACCGCATTCACCACCACCAACACCAACACCAACACCAACACCAACAACACAACCACCACCAGAAATTATCGCAGCCACCAGGACCACCACGACAGCCAGAAAACACTTCCAAACACATCCAACAATACACCACCTCCGAACCCCACCAACACCATTACACCTAAAGTATTACTACCAGAAACACCACCATCGTCGCACCACCACCACACCACCTCAATCACTAACAAACACTCCTATCTCACGACGACCCACCACAACTACTATCACCACTTCCACGACCACCATCACAACCAACATTACAACCACATCCCTCCAAAACCATTAACAATCAGATCCTACTACCAACATCACCACCACAACCACGGTCAAGATTTGAAAATACAACCAACAAAATCCCAAAATCACTACCTACAGATCAAAAAGAGAAAGAGATAATGCCCAACTCCACTGCCACCACCGTCACTAGTAACCAACATCACCCCGTCACCACCGCCAACACCAATATCAACAAAATCGACGCAATCAGATCCACTGCCACCACCAAACACACAGAAAAAACCCACCATCGCTGTCTGAACCACACCATCGCCGCCTCCAGATCCACCACCAACACTGTCGCCGCTAAAAATACGAACATCACCACACCACAACACCCACATAGCACTAACAAAATCGGCTTCCACAAACATAGAACTCACATCACATGCCACCAACACAAACTGGCTTCCACTCACACCGCACTAACAAACCAGCTTTTACACACTTCTGCGCATCGAGCCACTATTGCATCGCCGTTGACTAGCTGGTCGTACAGCGCAGCCACAATGACGTAGCTGTGAGTGCTGACTCTGCGACGCTCAGATCGACGAGTGACGACTTCGACCGGTCAGATTGCTCACAACACCGACTGCGAGGGTGCAGCACCTATGCTGTCGCTCGACTCTCACATCTCTGACGGCGATGCTCTTTAACGATAATGGAGGTTTGAGTGAAGGAGAAGGTAGAGCGGGTGAGGGAGAGAGGGGGATGGTGGAGAGAGAGACGAGAAGTGAAAAATCTGAGGATATGAAAAAATGATTAGGGTTTGTTTGGATTAAGTAGTGTGGGTATAAATAATACCTTATTTCTCATTAAAAAATATTTGCACTTGATTTTTGCACTCATATCTTTAAATACCGGCAATCCTGTAATTTCCTCGTAAATAAATTATTCTTGAGAGAGCTAATAAGAATATTAAGGCCCGTTTCGTACCCATTTTTTTCAAAATATATTTCTCTCTCTCTTCTTTTCAACTATACATTCTTCATTAAAATAATATTACATGTAAATAAAAAAAATTTCTTCATTTTTCAACCACACATTTCTCATTAATTTACTATTCCAAAATGTATTTTTACATAAAAATGGCTTCCAAACACACTCTAAACCTTTGTTTGACATGAATAAAAATTTAGATTTTAATTTAAGTCAAATTCAATAATTGATTTTGGCTACATATTTTATGAAATTCATAATTTTTCAATCACATAACTCATCAATTTTTATCAAAATCTATTAAAAATCTCATTTTAATCCCCATGAAATAGGGGCTAAATGTATGTTTGGGAGACCCATTTGAGGTAAAAAAATAAAAATAAAAATAAAATAAAATTGTAGAATGTGATTAAAAAAAAATGCGTGAATTCACATATAAAATTATTTAATTGAGCATTATGTATGATTAAAAATGAATTTTAAAAAAAATTAAGTGAACTGTGCCAAAAAATGCAATCTTTGTTTGGCGTTGTCCAGTATTTTATATCAACCAAATTGATATTTAGCCCTTATTTGTCATTTTTTTTAAAAATAAATTGTTTGCTACAGTAACATTATTCATCACATATTTACACAATAAATTCTACACACAAATCAATAAAGGTTTTTTAAATTTCAACCACACATTCGCCAAAAATTACCATTCAAAACTCTATATTTTCTCTCAAAATGGGAGACAAACAAACTCCTAATTAATGGTAGTATTGGATTTCAAATATTATTTTAAAAACTACAAATGGGCTTCAAATCATTTTAGTTTTTGACACCATCCTAAATGTTTAGGAAAATACGACAAATTTTGGGTGGAATTCAACCAAATATTCACTAGTTAAGCAAGTGAATTGAACTTGTTTACTTTGAAAGAGCAAACTTGTCTACTTACCTTTATTTGAAAGGCGAAAGATTAAAAAATAGGTATTCGGAAAAATAAGAAAATAATTCGAAGGGAAGAATGAAAAATATCATCTTCGTCAAACCTACGCCACCTAACCTAAACATGCCCACCACATCTTTGTCACTACTACTATCAAAGTCTCGTTGCTACCTCCATCACCCTTCCTTGTCCTAGGGTCCCTTCGATTTCACAACCCCTAGTTTTCGAGGTACTGATTTGGAAGTGATGAGAGATAGTGGTGGTGCCAAAGGGGGATGGCAATTGCATGATTGCATTTGGGATGGTGGCAGTTGGCTATGTATAGGGTTGGAAAAGATGAATTTTCATTCTTTTTTCTTTGAATTGCTCTATGGAAAATGTAAAGAGACTGTTTTGCCTGTCTAAAATTTGGACAAGTGCATTTCACACGCTCTACTAATAGAATTTTGGATGGTAACACTCAAGAGGTCATTCGACTGCGTATTTGTATAAAGGTTTGGGATAAAGCTTTCAAAATTTAAACGGTTTGGGACCTATTTTCACTTTTTGAAATGGTTATGGTTCTCGCTACAATTTTCCTCCAAATCCGTGTCATGAGATAATTAACCTGAAACGATAAATCATTAAAATCTTTTCCCTTAATAAAATTTTCAGTACTAAACTTTGAACTCAACTCAATGCTATTTGATATCAAAGTTATTGGGAGCCTCTTAACAATGTTGAGACTCCAAATGTTGTGGTCAGCGAGCTCAACTATTGAAAATACTATAGAGCAATCGAGATAGATGTCTAAGGTATTATTGGCTACAAAGAAGCATAAATTCAATATAATTTAGAGAATGCACTTACATGGAATGAATGGCTTAAATAGACAACTATACTTTTGAACTTCATGCCCTTCTTAGCATATATTCATATTTGTCGAGTTGAATAAATGTTGACTTTTGGGTCAAGCTAGATTCAAGTCTCTTCGGCTAATTTTGGATGGCCAAGTGCAACGTCTTACACGAGCTCTAACTTTCCATGAGCTAGATCTTATCACAATATTATTTAAAGACTGTTTCCACAATAATTATTCAAATCAGGAGTCCACATCTTTTATGCAACCGCGCAATCTTCTAAAATAAATTGATTTCAAAAAGCCAAACTCGGACGTTTATTCACATTATTGTGACCTATATAGAAAGGCAAGTCAACCAGCATGTTTGGCTAATTCAGAAAGTAAAAATTATTTTAAGTAATTTTTTTTTAATCTCTAAACATATTTATATAACATTTTTTTTTCCTAACAATAATTCTTACTTTTTGCCTAAACATTTCACTTACGGGTTAATTGCGTCGATGGTCACTAAAATTTTGAGTACTTATTTTTAATGGTATTTAAGTTATTTTCTTACAGTAGTAGTAACTCGAGTTTCTATAAATTACACTAATGATCAGTGGATTACAAATATTAACGTTAGATCATATGTGGTGTCAATAAGTACCGATATATCACTAAATAGAGTTATTTACTATGTCGATCTATAAAAGGCGTTAAAACTAGAGTGGGTCCATATATAAAAACCCAAAAATCTAGTCGAATTAAAGTTGCAGTAATTTTTCTTATTTGAACGTGCTTATTTTTCAATTACCAACGTAAAATAAAGGATAATTAATACAAAACATCCTCATCTTTTGTACACATGGCACAAATCTTTCATATTATTTCAAACTTGACATTTGCACCTTATTTCAACATTTTGTTGTGGAATTGGCCATTTCCGTCTCCTTTCGTCAAATATGGATAATTGACGTAAAACGTTCTTATCTTTTGCCTTCATTGTACAAATCATTCATTTTATTTCAATTTTCACATTTGGGCCCTCAGATTGATTTCTTTCTCTTTTTTTTTTAATATAAAAAATGTAAGAAAAGAATTAAAAATATAAAAAAAAGGAAGAGTTTTTCTTCCCTATTCAATTTCGCACATTGCCATCGGGCACCACCACTACCCACTCTCTCCATTCCATTGCGGCATTATTCTGGAATTTAACTATTTTGCTGTAATCAACTTTCATGTTCAAATATCTTTTCGTTTTCAGTGAAGCTACAAATTTTTTTAGGGATTTAACTATTTTCAGTTAAGTATTGTTTCTCTATTCTTCTTGTTGATTGCAATTTGCATACACACTCATACATGTTTCTTTTGCCTTAAAAAATGATGTCAGAAGATGAAATTTCTTCTTTAATTAGAGGGTTCATTCAATATCTTAATCAAAGTATCAATCCCGACTCTTCTAATTCAAACCCAGCCAAGAAGAAAAGAATAATTTTTAAATATATTTTAAGGTATTGTAAGTGAGATTCGTTTGTACTATTTGAAAAAATTAAGCCTTTGACTGCAATATTTCTTCTTCTTTTTTTAAAAATATTACTTGTTTATTTTCTATTTTTTTTTTAATTTAAAGAGGAGGATAAATTAATCATTATTCATTTGTTAATGTTTTAATGGAAAAAAATAGACAACAATGACCTTTTGCACAAAGAAATGTCGATTTAAGGGACCAAATACTAAAACTAAAATGACAGGGATGATTTGCACCAATTACTCATATTCGACGAAATAAGAGGAAACAATCAACTCCAGAACCGAGGCATTAGGAACAACAATGAGAACATAACATTACATGCCCCAAACATATATATCTCATATCGAATAAATATAAAAATATTCAACGTATAAAGCTTGGATTAATTCTCTTAACAAGGTTGACCTTTTAAAACGGACCCAGTTCTCCGTATCACAATACATTAAGTTCCTTGATCCGAATAAAACTCAAATGAGCACATGGTTTTGAAGATTAATATGCTCAAACGAGCTACCATCTTGCAGGGGCAAGTTAAGGTTAATAAATATGAAATAAGTATATAACATTAAGCCCCCGTTTGGTTCTAATTTTTTTATCCACAAAAAATCAATTTTTTGACTGTTACTTAACATGGTCAGCCGCAATTTTGACTTCTTCACTCACAGGTAGGATCCACTCTTCTCTATAACGGTCAAAAAATCAATTCTCATAATCACTACCGAACAGACCCTAAAGGCTCGAGCTACCCTTCTTAACCAGATTGACATTTTAAGAAGAAATCCAAATCCTAATACATTGTGCTTGTGCATTCTTATATTTGACCATTGTTCATATGATACACACAGGTCATGTTGTCTCATTAAACCCAAGAACTTCTGCAAACATGGTTGAAATCATAAAGTTTCTAGTGACTGAATTGTTTGAAACATCTTAGAGAGAAACAAGAAATGAAAGTGCATACAGTTACAGTTCTTGCTTCAAAATCAATGCCTACTGAAAAAGTCGTATCCTCGGGGATACAAAGACAGATGTTCCAAGAAGTAAGGCACGTTAGCAATATACACCTTCATTTTTTACTAAATTTTCAGTAAAAAAAGATTACCCAAGTGACTCTTACCTCACTATCAAAAGAGTAACTTATTCCAACTTTGAATAATAAAAGAATTATTCATATTAGAATTTACTTATTTACTAAATATTTAATTTACTTCTAAGTAAACATTTTAAGATTAGCCAAACATGCTCTGAATCCCTTGCTTGTTGAGCATACATTTATCTGTGCATGAGAGAACATCTACAAAAGAAAATGCCAAAGAGAGAGTTGGACTTGGTAACGAAATGCATGGATAATTTGCAATTTTACCTCACAAATGAGAGTGAGAATAAGATAGTTGATTGTGACTTTCCGATATAATGCTAGAGTGAAGCAAACAAGGAGCACTAGATGATGCACTAGGATTGAAGGGATCCAACCACTGTACAGCCGATAATGCAACATATCCCACTGATCATATGCAAAATAACCACATGAAAAGCACAAAGCTTGGTATGCCCATGGCCAAGTAACCTCGACCAACTGTGAGTGTTCAAACATCTTGTTTAGACCACTAGTTGTCCACTGATTGAGCAGAATAATTACGACTGCAGAAATGAACGTGGTTAATTCAGAAAAGATGAAAGCAGCACTAAGAAAATGGAGAGAGCATAGTTCATGTACAATATCATCAATCATCTATGAATTTTAGGGCTTGTTTGAGCTACATTATTTTCAAAAAAATACATTTTTTCAACAGTGATTTGATATCATTTCAACCACACATTCTTCAATAAAATAATATTACACGCAAATCTAAAATTTTTTCTTATTTTTTAATCACACATTTGCCATTGATTTGACATGAATAATGCATTTTTCCTAGAATGTGGCTCAAACAAGGGGTTAATATCTTGACTACACATATATGAGAATACTTTGCGAGAGAGGAGAGACATTTAAACCCAGCTGGGCAGCAACCCATCCCATTCTGCCCCAAAAGAAAGAGAGAATGAAATGAAAGAAGTTTTTCTGCAAAACAAACCATTCTTGCAACGAAACCTCTGGTCCTATCACTTCAACATACGATTATTTTTTCTTTTTTCTTGTTAAAAGCATATCCATACCAAGTGAGACAATTGATCTTTTTGTTTGGACTGCGATTTCCCAGGGATTTACCTCATCAAAGGCTCATCCAAATATCAAAAACACAAGCTCATGTTATAGCTAGAATCAATAAATCTGTTCCTTCTTTTCTTATCAATTAATTGACCCCTTATATTTAATACAGTAAATAAAGCATCATAATATTGACAGAACCCTCTCAAAAGTATATCAGTGTGTAGAATTTAATAGAATGAAGCGGAAATAGATTGAAACACTAGTAACTCAAACAGTTCAAATAAAAGAGACCATTTTCTCATTCAAAAGTGCTAAGTTACTACATTTATTCTAGTGAGACAGCCGCTCTTAGCCATCCCCTTGTCTAATCGTACAAATGAACACAAGTAGGCCATCATGAATTCATGATTGTCCAAAATGAACACAAATTCATCAAACAAAGGAATACACTCCCTCCATTCCATTTATAGAGGCTGGTTTTGTTTTCACACAGATTAAGAAATCTTATTTAAAGTAATTGAAAAAGCAATTTTTGCAAAAAACTTTCCTAATTTATATTTGTAAAATTTCAAGATTAAGTGGAGAAAATTGATTAGAACTAGGCAAATTAAATAGAGATATATTAATAAACAAACAAAATAAAATATTCTCAATAAAGAAACATAACTATATAATTAGGACAAGAAAATAAAGAAAGTCAACCAATATAAATGGGACGGAGGGAGTATAAAATAATGATGGTTTGGTCCTAGGAACAAAGCCAAGAAGTCGTAAGTCCAATACATAATTCTAGTTATTCTCAGTATGAAAAGAAACAGAAAAATGCTTATATCATTAACATTCCCCCAATCTACAATCTACAATCCACAATGAGACAAATAGAAGAAAGGACTCATCTACATGTACATGCTACTCAGAAGCATAATAACTCAATTTAAAAAAAAAAAAATCCGCCCCGGAAAATTCCAATCTACTCAAGAACATGCTAGCATTATTCTTAGGAAAAAGAAAAAAAGGGTAATTCAATTCAGTTGAATCAACAAGCAAACACAAAGATAAAATCTCCTCATTTTTTTTAATTTTTTCAAATTGGCATATAATTCAGCTATATCTAATGAGCTAAATCCAACACTTTCTTACGCAACAAATTCTACAAACCATCAATAATTAATAAGAATAGCCGGCAAAACTACAGAATCCCATTACAGAATACTCCCCAATAATCACAACAAATTCAATCAGACAAATAAAAACCATCGAAAGAGGAAATGTGAAGCTGACCAGAGGCAGAAGTAATTGACGAATGGAGGAGAGAAACACACGTGTTAACAAACACAGGATCACGCGAGACAAAATTGCGAACGATCCAGTTGGCCAGTTGGAAGAAAACGAAGCCCAGAAGAATTGGAACAAGCTCAATTCGCTTATTGAAAGAAATTTCGAAGAAAACCGAGACACCCCACATCACTAAAGTCGCCAAGAAGAATGCTCCCGCCTTGTTCTCCATATCAATTTTTCTCCTATTACTACTGCTTCGCGCCATAACTGTTCTTCCTTGTTTGATTTTCTGTGGTTCTGGGTGCAATTCAGGAATATCTAAGGTTGCTTATTCTCATCAATTACTGTTAGGGAAGGCAATGAAGAGCATGGTGGGGGAAATGGGGGAGGAATGATATTGGGCAGCCTTATGTTTCTTCAGAGTGTTTTATACGAAATTGTTAGAATACTCCAAAAAGGAAATAAATAATGGGAAAAAATACAATTCCGGGTATTATTTACATCAATTCACAAATCTTGTATAAAGTTTAAAAATTCAAAATTCAGATTTCTATATAACTAATTAAAAATATTTATTAATTAAATATAATAAAATCACAGTTACACAATTAATGACCATGGATTCATAATTATTGGTCACGAATTTATTTATTGGTCATATATCATCGAATGTTACAGATTATTTCAAGACCGCAAATCAAAAATTTTGTAGGTCACAGATTATTTTGAGGTCACAAATCAAAACTTTTGTGGTCACAGATTATTTCATTGGTCACAGATTAAAAATTTTGTAGGTCACAGCTCACATCATTGGTCACAAATTCAAAAATTTATAGGTCACGGGTCACATATTCTTAAATTTGATGGTCACGAATTACTTTTTAATGACAAATGATAGAATTTTTAATGTCGCAGTTTACGGTCATAATCACAGACGTGACCATATAGTTGGTCACAGACATCCAACATTCAATCCCGACACCACCACCGCATTCACCACCACCAACACCAACACCAACACCAACACCAACAACACAACCACCACCAGAAATTATCGCAGCCACCAGGACCACCACGACAGCCAGAAAACACTTCCAAACACATCCAACAATACACCACCTCCGAACCCCACCAACACCATTACACCTAAAGTATTACTACCAGAAACACCACCATCGTCGCACCACCACCACACCACCTCAATCACTAACAAACACTCCTATCTCACGACGACCCACCACAACTACTATCACCACTTCCACGACCACCATCACAACCAACATTACAACCACATCCCTCCAAAACCATTAACAATCAGATCCTACCACCAACATCACCACCACAACCACGGTCAAGATTTGAAAATACAACCAACAAAATCCCAAAATCACTACCTACAGATCAAAAAGAGAAAGAGATAATGCCCAACTCCACTGCCACCACCGTCACTAGTAACCAACATCACCCCGTCACCACCGCCAACACCAATATCAACAAAATCGACGCAATCAGATCCACTGCCACCACCAAACACACAGAAAAAACCCACCATCGCTGTCTGAACCACACCATCGCCGCCTCCAGATCCACCACCAACACTGTCGCCGCTAAAAATACGAACATCACCACACCACAACACCCACATAGCACTAACAAAATCGGCTTCCACAAACATAGAACTCACATCACATGCCACCAACACAAACTGGCTTCCACTCACACCGCACTAACAAACCAGCTTTTACACACTTCTGCGCATCGAGCCACTATTGCATCGCCGTTGACTAGCTGGTCGTACAGCGCAGCCACAATGACGTAGCTGTGAGTGCTGACTCTGCGACGCTCAGATCGACGAGTGACGACTTCGACCGGTCAGATTGCTCACAACACCGACTGCGAGGGTGCAGCACCTATGCTGTCGCTCGACTCTCACATCTCTGACGGCGATGCTCTTTAACGATAATGGAGGTTTGAGTGAAGGAGAAGGTAGAGCGGGTGAGGGAGAGAGGGGGATGGTGGAGAGAGAGACGAGAAGTGAAAAATCTGAGGATATGAAAAAATGATTAGGGTTTGTTTGGATTAAGTAGTGTGGGTATAAATAATACCTTATTTCTCATTAAAAAATATTTGCACTTGATTTTTGCACTCATATCTTTAAATACCGGCAATCCTGTAATTTCCTCGTAAATAAATTATTCTTGAGAGAGCTAATAAGAATATTAAGGCCCGTTTCGTACCCATTTTTTTCAAAATATATTTCTCTCTCTCTTCTTTTCAACTATACATTCTTCATTAAAATAATATTACATGTAAATAAAAAAAATTTCTTCATTTTTCAACCACACATTTCTCATTAATTTACTATTCCAAAATGTATTTTTACATAAAAATGGCTTCCAAACACACTCTAAACCTTTGTTTGACATGAATAAAAATTTAGATTTTAATTTAAGTCAAATTCAATAATTGATTTTGGCTACATATTTTATGAAATTCATAATTTTTCAATCACATAACTCATCAATTTTTATCAAAATCTATTAAAAATCTCATTTTAATCCCCATGAAATAGGGGCTAAATGTATGTTTGGGAGACCCATTTGAGGTAAAAAAATAAAAATAAAAATAAAATAAAATTGTAGAATGTGATTAAAAAAAAATGCGTGAATTCACATATAAAATTATTTAATTGAGCATTATGTATGATTAAAAATGAATTTTAAAAAAAATTAAGTGAACTGTGCCAAAAAATGCAATCTTTGTTTGGCGTTGTCCAGTATTTTATATCAACCAAATTGATATTTAGCCCTTATTTGTCATTTTTTTTAAAAATAAATTGTTTGCTACAGTAACATTATTCATCACATATTTACACAATAAATTCTACACACAAATCAATAAAGGTTTTTTAAATTTCAACCACACATTCGCCAAAAATTACCATTCAAAACTCTATATTTTCTCTCAAAATGGGAGACAAACAAACTCCTAATTAATGGTAGTATTGGATTTCAAATATTATTTTAAAAACTACAAATGGGCTTCAAATCATTTTAGTTTTTGACACCATCCTAAATGTTTAGGAAAATACGACAAATTTTGGGTGGAATTCAACCAAATATTCACTAGTTAAGCAAGTGAATTGAACTTGTTTACTTTGAAAGAGCAAACTTGTCTACTTACCTTTATTTGAAAGGCGAAAGATTAAAAAATAGGTATTCGGAAAAATAAGAAAATAATTCGAAGGGAAGAATGAAAAATATCATCTTCGTCAAACCTACGCCACCTAACCTAAACATGCCCACCACATCTTTGTCACTACTACTATCAAAGTCTCGTTGCTACCTCCATCACCCTTCCTTGTCCTAGGGTCCCTTCGATTTCACAACCCCTAGTTTTCGAGGTACTGATTTGGAAGTGATGAGAGATAGTGGTGGTGCCAAAGGGGGATGGCAATTGCATGATTGCATTTGGGATGGTGGCAGTTGGCTATGTATAGGGTTGGAAAAGATGAATTTTCATTCTTTTTTCTTTGAATTGCTCTATGGAAAATGTAAAGAGACTGTTTTGCCTGTCTAAAATTTGGACAAGTGCATTTCACACGCTCTACTAATAGAATTTTGGATGGTAACACTCAAGAGGTCATTCGACTGCGTATTTGTATAAAGGTTTGGGATAAAGCTTTCAAAATTTAAACGGTTTGGGACCTATTTTCACTTTTTGAAATGGTTATGGTTCTCGCTACAATTTTCCTCCAAATCCGTGTCATGAGATAATTAACCTGAAACGATAAATCATTAAAATCTTTTCCCTTAATAAAATTTTCAGTACTAAACTTTGAACTCAACTCAATGCTATTTGATATCAAAGTTATTGGGAGCCTCTTAACAATGTTGAGACTCCAAATGTTGTGGTCAGCGAGCTCAACTATTGAAAATACTATAGAGCAATCGAGATAGATGTCTAAGGTATTATTGGCTACAAAGAAGCATAAATTCAATATAATTTAGAGAATGCACTTACATGGAATGAATGGCTTAAATAGACAACTATACTTTTGAACTTCATGCCCTTCTTAGCATATATTCATATTTGTCGAGTTGAATAAATGTTGACTTTTGGGTCAAGCTAGATTCAAGTCTCTTCGGCTAATTTTGGATGGCCAAGTGCAACGTCTTACACGAGCTCTAACTTTCCATGAGCTAGATCTTATCACAATATTATTTAAAGACTGTTTCCACAATAATTATTCAAATCAGGAGTCCACATCTTTTATGCAACCGCGCAATCTTCTAAAATAAATTGATTTCAAAAAGCCAAACTCGGACGTTTATTCACATTATTGTGACCTATATAGAAAGGCAAGTCAACCAGCATGTTTGGCTAATTCAGAAAGTAAAAATTATTTTAAGTAATTTTTTTTTAATCTCTAAACATATTTATATAACATTTTTTTTTCCTAACAATAATTCTTACTTTTTGCCTAAACATTTCACTTACGGGTTAATTGCGTCGATGGTCACTAAAATTTTGAGTACTTATTTTTAATGGTATTTAAGTTATTTTCTTACAGTAGTAGTAACTCGAGTTTCTATAAATTACACTAATGATCAGTGGATTACAAATATTAACGTTAGATCATATGTGGTGTCAATAAGTACCGATATATCACTAAATAGAGTTATTTACTATGTCGATCTATAAAAGGCGTTAAAACTAGAGTGGGTCCATATATAAAAACCCAAAAATCTAGTCGAATTAAAGTTGCAGTAATTTTTCTTATTTGAACGTGCTTATTTTTCAATTACCAACGTAAAATAAAGGATAATTAATACAAAACATCCTCATCTTTTGTACACATGGCACAAATCTTTCATATTATTTCAAACTTGACATTTGCACCTTATTTCAACATTTTGTTGTGGAATTGGCCATTTCCGTCTCCTTTCGTCAAATATGGATAATTGACGTAAAACGTTCTTATCTTTTGCCTTCATTGTACAAATCATTCATTTTATTTCAATTTTCACATTTGGGCCCTCAGATTGATTTCTTTCTCTTTTTTTTTTAATATAAAAAATGTAAGAAAAGAATTAAAAATATAAAAAAAAGGAAGAGTTTTTCTTCCCTATTCAATTTCGCACATTGCCATCGGGCACCACCACTACCCACTCTCTCCATTCCATTGCGGCATTATTCTGGAATTTAACTATTTTGCTGTAATCAACTTTCATGTTCAAATATCTTTTCGTTTTCAGTGAAGCTACAAATTTTTTTAGGGATTTAACTATTTTCAGTTAAGTATTGTTTCTCTATTCTTCTTGTTGATTGCAATTTGCATACACACTCATACATGTTTCTTTTGCCTTAAAAAATGATGTCAGAAGATGAAATTTCTTCTTTAATTAGAGGTTTCATTCAATATCTTAATCAAAGTATCA